AGGACAATGCTATTATATTTTGCTATTAAAAAAAAATAAAAAAAAAGAAACAAATAAAGACAAAAAAAAAAAAAAAAAAAAAAAAAAAAAAAGACGAAATGATGAAGCTGGCGATAGGTGATGGAACTGAAAGGTAGCAAAATTTTGAAAGGCGGTAAAATAAAAAATCGTATTATTGTGGTTTGAATAGTGATTTGACCCGGGTGGTGGGTGATCCGGACTGAGATATTGCCACCCGTGGATTTGTGTATGTCTACTATCAGGAAGTTTCGGAATGGTAGACAATCAGCGAACATTAAAGACGAGAAAGGTTGTCGTGAAATCTCGGAATAGAAATTTTTGAGTTAACCCATCCATTTCACATAGATGATATATGGTTTAGCTCAGTGTTGTCACGTCTACTATGTCCAAGACTTCTTTTGCCAATGTCCACGTCCAAACGTCCACAGTTGTCCACAATTGTTCAAAGAATATTTAGGCTTTAAAATTTAATAAATTAGTTTAAAAGAAATATGATTATATATTTTTTGGGAATTGATATTTCCACACCCTTTTTTGATATTGCCACACTCCTGCTAACTCTAAACCCTAACCAAACCCTAATAATTTATATTGATTTTTATTAACAGGAGTGTAACAATATCAAAAAAGGGTGTGGAAATATCAATTTCCTATTTTTTATAATTTTGAATATTTTGCTTAAAAGGTTAAAAAAAGTTAATAAAATTTTGAGTAATTTAGATTTGTTTTTTTTATTCAAAATTGTCCACAAAATTGCCTTTTGTTCACCCCTGTAATTTTGACCAATCGAATTTCAGGATCAGGTGAACCTACTTTTTACAATAACTCTAAATTTTAATTAGGAAACTACCTTCTGTGGCCTAATTAAAAATGTCCCTCTTGATGTTTTTACTAATAAGCAGTATATTGTTCTAATCCTAACTCTAACTATAACACGGTTTTCGGGTTTTTATTTTACACGTAACTTTTTTACTTAAAACACGTTTGTTTGACACCTGATCTTAAATTTTGATTGGTCAAAATTGCCGGAGATGAACAATTTTTGTGGAACTACCTAAATTGACATATGGCCCATGACCCGGTGGAGGTTTTTTATCACTAGCACTAGGTAGTCTAATGTTACATAGACTTGACACAAAATATGTCAAAAACTTGTCTTGAATTTATATTGTCAAATATTTCTTTGTATAATCTTTAATTGTTACAAGTAATATATATTTCAAGCCAGTTTGTTGCTATTGCTGTAATTATAGCATAGCCTATACTTTAAGCCAAACTATTATTACCATTATTGTATAACTTATAAAGATTGTACAAATACTTTGTTTTCAAAAAGTTCTTTGGTATCATCAGAGTTACAAACATATTCTAACTATTATAAAGTATTTTATTAATAATATAAATTATATATTTGGCTATCCTTCTTTTCTTTTAAGATATTACATAATATCTGTTACTACTTTACAAAAAGTGTTTTTTGAGCAAATTTACTATATGCTTTTAACATAAATAAACTTTAAGGAATTTTGGAAGATATGTCTTTCATGGAAGATACTTATAATTTTTTTTTAATACGAGGCATCCATATTAGCAAAATTATTTTTTATACATATGATATAACATTTTTATTATTGAATCCATTATAACCATCTTATTTTGTCTATTAAACACTTAATACAAATCACTCTGGTTATATTGGCACTATTCAAAACCCTATAAAATTTTTTTAAAATCATATTCAGACTTTACTCAGATTATTTCTTTAAGGGATGAACATTTTCCGTAACAAAAATCTATACAAAACCTTTAAAATTGTCTAAATATTTTCAAATTTCCTGAATATTTTTGAAACCTTGTTAATTTCCTAATTATAACTTTTATCAAGCAAAAAATTATAATAGAAAATTAACAAGGTTTCGAAAATATTCAGGAAATTTGAAAATATTCAGAAAATTTAAAGGTTTTGTATAGATTTTTGTTACGGAAATGCTCATTTCTTAAAAAAATAACCCGAGCAAATTCTGAATATGATTTAAAAAAATTTTTTTTATGGAAAACAAAAAAAATTGTTCGATATTTCCAGATATCTATAACAAGATGTCGTTATGTACGAATGTCAATATAATCGGAGTGATGTGTACTTTAAATTTGGTCCATTAAATTGATAAGAGTGTTCGTTGCATTGAGTAGTTGATTGTATGTATTTAATTTATAAAGAAAATGCAATCACGAAGATCATTCCTAAATACAGAAATAACAAAAATACGCAAAATATGAAATACGGCAGTCTAAACCAATCTTGATGTTCTAGAAAAAAAAAAGACCGGGAATACTATTTTATATGTAATAGCATTCCTAATGCTAGTTCGATAAGTAATTATAGCCCTTATCCGGAAAATTTGTACAGATCCTGTCCAGGCACAAAAGGTTGTACATTTACCTAATTACCTAATATTAAATTAAGAATTTTACCTTTACGTAGCTAATTTGAGTATCACTAAAACGAGTATCAATGTCATTATTAAATAAAAATGTAACATTGTGTAAATATATAAGCATCAAGTTTCAGACTTAGTTAAATATGTATTTATATAAATAAATGTTATCATAAAACCATTGGATCTTAACAAAAAGGAGGAAGGAGAAACATAAAATCTTCAGTCCTGAATGTTGTTTTATTGTAAATTTATTATGATAACTCTTAAATTATAGCCCGTAGCTTGCAAAACTTTTTTTTTTTTTGCATAACTGATGAACATTGCCATTCCAAGCTTGTTTAGTATTTTGAACATCTCAAGCGAGTTATTAAAGCGAGTTATTAAGCGAGTTATTAAAGTTTTTAAATAAGATGTGCACCTCCGAAAGTCCACTTCCTGAAAACGTTATCCCGGCTAGAAATGTTATAAAACTGTTACGGCTATGCCGTAACCAGTTACGATAAAAGCTTTAACTAGTTATGACATAAGCTGTACCTACCGCATTTCTAGTTCCAGTAGGGTATATGTAGTCAATTTACTGACTAAATATTTCTCGGCACATTTAAACGACAAACCATTTTCCTGGCAGAATTATTCTAAATTAATGATGGTTTATTTTACGCTCTGGAAAAGATATTCTGATTATAGTTTTTCCTGATGTAACCTAACTATAATTTTGACTTTAACCTGTTGGAGAAATGTCGGGATATCTTATGAAAGGAAGTATGCTTTCAGTAAATTGTTTTTACCATAAATGCGTTGCCAGTGAAATATTCTATCGTAGGTAGATATGATGTCAGAGAAATTGTTGCGCGAATTATTACCTTTTTTAATGCATACGAAGATAATGAAAATGGTTAAAGAGACTAGGTTGCTAATCCCAGTTAGGTAGTTTCTTTTAAGACTATAGCTAGAAATTTCCTAGCTTTTAAAAGATGACTCCTGCTAAACTAGCATATATCTAAACTAGCATATATATTTTTTATATATGTGTGCCGTCAATATAAAACCAGACACCGTTTTTTTTAAGGTTAGGCATGTCAGACAACCCCTGAAAAACATCTAATCAACGACGATAAATTGTATTACATTCGTGTCATTTCGATATCAATTTTTTTAATGACTGACTAAATTAATAAGTTATTAACTTAAAACAAAAATCTGGTTGTTTTCCTTGGTAGCACTCAGAATTTTTTGATATTTTGTATAGCGATAATACTGTAATATAGTCGAAACTAGAGTCACATGAAAGTGGATATTAGTTTCATCCTGGGCTTTAAATAGCACAAGCAATTTAATCGAGTTTCACATTTATGTTGTGATACCTACACGCACAATTGGTCTTGAAATACATACGTACGTACGTACACATACGTATATACTTGGTATTTATATGTATTTTATATACACTTGAATGCATTTACTTCAAAAAAAACGGGATGTATCACGTTTATTGTGATCAATTGTAAGTGATTCACAAAAAAAGTAAGTAATTCCAACGCTAATCATTTTTCAGGCAGTTGTATTGCAATGCTAAAAATGCAGAACTTTCATTGTAATTACGCACTAGAATAGTACATACTTTGTCCTAAATATAGTGCAACATTAAATAATTATATTAATAACTATGCGTACTATTCCTGAGGTGGATATATTACATCCACTTTTTACCATTGCACCAACTTGCACTTGTCATCTTAATAAAATTTTATGATTGGCAAACATTAACGTCAATTGGTTTTCTCGTCATAGCTTTGCTTTCGTGGCTGGTTTATAATTTAACTATGAACTCTTTAACCGACATCTATAGAACATTTAGAGTATTAATTGTTTTATTGATTCTTGTGTGTCTTGTCGCAGGTTTGCCTTTAATTCTTGTTACCATTTATTGCCGAAGACGAAGTAATGAAGTAATGAATGTGAATATTGAATATATTCTTCCATTATTATTATTGTTATTAAAGAAATCGTACAAATAGTAAGTTTTAAGAATCAGTTTCCGGAAAGAAGTTCTGATGATTTTTTCTCAAATGGATGGTGAGTGTATATATATATATATGTATACAAATTCGTATCTATACATGTGAAGTTTCTTTTGATTTAAGGATTCAATTTTATGCTTGCTTTGTACAGGTTCAAAACACATGGAATAAAACCATACTGGTGGGCAATTCTTTTTTTCGGACTCGCTATTAGTGGTAGTTATATTTTCGAGAATAGTCTACAAGAATATTATATAATGATATACGTTATCTTAATAATTACTTTTGATTTTATTATAGTCTATCATGTCATAATATCATTCGGTCGATTTCAATCTGAATCTCATGAATATGATACATTAGTTGATTTGTACGTTTATTGCTATACAGTATATATGCGTGAAAAAGCTTCAATCCTATTAAAATAAAATTAATCGTAAACTTTTGTATTTTCTTAAAGCGGTCTTGCATTATTATGGCTTTCGGCAGGTACAATGCTTAATTGTTATGTGATATATATATATATTTTTTTTAAAAAAAACATCTAATAAATATCATTGCATTTATTATAGCTTTAACAAACATATACCCAGCATACATCGGCTATATCATAGTGTGCAGGCCAGTTAACCGATTTGGCGTCCCCTATCCACCTTCAATATTGGGATGGTGCCATGGTTACATAACCAGCGTAGCATTTAGTTGGATAATTACCTTTGTTTATTTAATAACGTCTATAATATCACGAAAGTTATGGCAAGCATCCCTTCTTGATGATTTTGGTCAACCTAACACATCCAATGTTCCCCGAAGGGAATTGGATAATTTTCATAGTCATAACCTTGGGTTTACCGATTTTCGTCGTAACTCTTCTCGCGGGATAACCGGCCAGAATCCTGGGCCAAGTAGCGGATTTAATGCGCCAGTCGCTTCTAATCCTGGCACTGATACTTATTATGGTGCTACGATACCAAATAATTATTATAGAAACAATAATTAATACTAATCAAGATTGTTCAAAAAAGTACCTTTTAACAAAATTGAGCAAAGTTTTAACAAGTTTAAATTGACATTGAAGGAAGATACTTATTTTTTGATTTATTAGACTATCAATATCGATATGTTGTTTTTTATTATCATATGACATTTTATTTATGGCTGTTAATATCCTCACTTTCCGGTAGTTATTTACTGTAATTTTTCACATTAGATTTAATTGGCAACACTTATTATATAGAGTTTACTATATAATGAGTTTAATAATATATACTTCAAAAGATTAGTAATTCTTTTTTAAAAAATTTAAACTTAAAAAAACAACCTTTTGACTAAACAATTAATATTAAGCGTAATTAAGGGTAATAAAAAGTAAAACATTTAGCAACAATCCTACAATGACAAACGGTTTTTATTTTGTTCCAAATTTGGGTTGACTAAAGCCTTCATTCTGAATCCGATTGTTGGATTTTGTAGATCATTTGATGACTTTTGTAAACTCTGATTGGCTAATAAGTAATTAAATAATTGTCCGGTGCAAACGGACGATTGGGATACATTTATAACCAGTGTTGAGACTAGTCCGATTTAAGGTTTAATACTTTGTCAAATTAGTCAAACAATATGTATATGTCGTGCCTGAAGTTGGATTTTGCCTAAGGTTGCAACTGCCAGAAGTTACCCCCTGCCTAAATTACTACCGTATTTGTTATTTCGAAATTTTCACTTTGAAAATTGCATGTTTGTACGTCTCAAAATTACGCGCCCCTACCGCATCTAAACTACATCTAAACCTAATTCGATTTGCATATACGTATATTCAATACTATATATTTGTCATACCGAAAATGATTCCTAAATAACACACAGTAGCTCGAAATAACGTGCAGATGTGCGTTATTACGATTTATTTCAGGGGTTAATTCAATCAAGTGCAGCTTCAGGAACGACTTCAAACATGACATATATAAGTTGCATATTTTGTCCCTCATCGAGGAGGTGTTTGTGACACAATAAAATACTACGGGTATTCTGTCTCTGCTCCAGGATCGGCGTTGGCCTATGCCTGTTATGACCTATTGGCCAATTACAGGTTATAGGTTATGACCTTATGACCTGTTATGACTTATAAAAATTACTAATATGTTATATAATCTAAAAATGCCCCGAAGTGTCAGTGACGTAAGATCAATTAGTACAACCTATTGGTTCTCTTCTTGCTGCATATTGTAAATCATTTTTTTTTTTAGATATAATTCAATTGCTATATATATAAATATATATTGTGGCTGCGCCATTATACGTCACTGGCACTTTGGTCCTGGATCAGGGCTAAATGACATAGTAAATGCCGGCCATTTATTACGCCATTGCTTATTGTTTAAAGTATCTTTCTTGATACATAAAAATTAGGATTTTATTTTTTATCGCTATAGCGATGTATCGCTACCCCTGAGATTTATTTGTCGCGTCATGCGATGTCGGGGTTTCAATATTCAAACTCCGCCTATGATTAGTAATCTATAGGTAATCTATATTACTAATCATATACGGAGCTTGAATATTGAAACCCCGACATCGCATGACGTGACATTTAAGTTTCGGGATTTTGATTTTCGGAATTTTGATTTTCGGAATTTTGATTTTCGGGATTTTGATTTGACTTCGACCCGGGTGGTGATACATCGCTATAGCGACAAATTATAAAGCCCTAAAAATTATTAGTAGAAATATTTAATATTTGATCGTTTTTAGCAATAGACTAGCATATGCATACGGATAATACTGCATTAAAAAATTATAATATAACGTGAATCAAGAACGACACTTATTGAATGACCGGCATTTACTATGTGTCGTTTTAGCCCTGTCCTGGATGAGTCGCACCAAACACAATGCAGAATTCGAGAGTACCGATAAAATGAACTGGTGAGTCTCTTTAGTTGTGAGGCTAAATTCCGGCTGCCGTCTCAACAGGCCATCTCGAAACTTTTCCAATTTCTTATGCTCTAGCAGATCGTAAAGTGAACAGATAACGATAATCCTTTGACTGTGTCTCGAGAAGCCACTTAAATCTAAGATTTGACTGTCGTTTGACAGGCAAAACCCACTGATACTTGACTATTAATTCATTACGCCCTTTCTATCAAGACATTACCTACCCGAGCGTAATGCGTATGAATGTGATAGCCTTGTGGCTATCGTCCCAACAGCACGTACCAAAAAAAGGATTCTTCTGTGACTGTCGTTCCGACAGGTCATTTGCTAGAACTTTAAGATTCCGATTAAACCTTACTAACGCTAAAGAATTCACTCATTAGGCCACTCAAGAGAGTGGGAAAGGTGGGACGAAAAAAACCAGACAAAGCTGGAAATTAGCTTGTCTGGGGAAAAGCCTGTCCCTTTAAATATGCCCTAACGATTACAAATCAAAAAAAAATACGTAATTACGTCGTTACTATAATAATATATCGATAATTACTAATCGAAAACGCTACAGTCATTTCGTTGCATAATATGCCCCTGCTAATCAAGCAATAAATCATAATAATACAAATTAATGGTTCGATTCTATCGTATCGTGCAGCTAATATGTATTAGTATGATATATGATGTTAGGGTCGTCGCACGACGTAGTCGCGCGGAATAGAGATCACGGTCGAAATCAAAAAATCGGCCTAGCCGATTTTTTGACCTGGTCGGTTGATTTTTTCTACAAAGTTTGAATGGAGTTTCTACAAAGTATTTTTACTAATTTTTTTACATCTTCATAAATAAGTACGTTATTAGTAATGTCCAAAGAGGTTAAATTCGTATTTGTACAGAGAACTTCCATCGCCTATTTTTCAGTAACTTGTAGACTAAGGGCAGTATATTGATGCTTATTTAAAATTAACCATTTTTCAATTAAAGCCAAATACTAATAGCTAACGATTCGTAATTAACTTTGAATTGATATTGTGTTACGAATTATGAGTATAAAAAAAGTAGTGATTGTACTCGGTCAAAAAAACGCTACTCGGTTAACCGGCGGGTGAACCCGCGGGTTACCCGGGTGATCGGCAGATATACTCGGGTAGAGAATTTTACCCGTCGTACCCGAGTAATTTTGATAGCATTAGTCGCACTTTTCCGGCACTCATATCAACTGCAGTGTAAGTAAAAAGAT